CCCATTGTTTTTTCTTTTGCTTAGAAACCGAACAATACAGGTGAAGTGAAGGGAGCTTTTGGTGACTACAAGTTTGTGTCTTTGAACCCATTCTTGTTTACCTCGAGAAGACCCTAATTCCTAGGCTAAACACAAGCACCCACTAGCACCCACTGATGTAAGAACATCAGTGGGTGCTAGTTGATTAGATGATTAACGTTTTATTTTATTGAAGAATAATTATAAAGTGTAGACATTCCAAAGTGCCCTTGTCCTTCGTATTGTGGGCTCTTACAGGAATGTTTATGCCCTCTGGGTAAGAAAGACTCTGCCTTCATTGATCAGATCTAGAACATCTGCATGGGTAACACTTCTTTTATGCTAAGCATCATAATCTAGTTTTTTTGCATAGAATGGCAAAGTCCCCAAGTGTTTTTACACCTCACTTCTGTGATTTATTACATTTTGATAAAATGCTGTTGTGGGGTGCTGTATAAAATATTGATTATATTCTTACCATTAATGTAATTTCCATGAAGGGTATTTGACGCCAACCCTTTCACCAGTTTGCATAAAAAATTTATATTCCTTTACTTTCTAGTGGTTCTGGTTACACTTCCAAGGAACAGGAGTCCCGTTAGGGTAAAAAATGTTTTTTTGTTATAGATTAGACACCCTGGGTAATGCCAGCCTAGATCCTTTCTTTATGATAAGGGATGGGACCAGATGTTACTAATGTGGGGCATTTAGCTTTTCTTCATTCTGATGGAAACTGCCCTGAACAAAAGCATGATTTGTGTTTTTGTAGCAGGTGGAGAAAACTTCAAGGATGGCTTGGAACTGATCAGGAACTATAGTTGGGATATTTATTGTCCCTGGAGGGACCCTTTTATAATTTTTGAATGTGAACCATTATTTCCTTTTTAAAGTCTATTTTTCTGACACCTTCTAAACTTGGAACCTCTTATGATGAACAGTACTGCTATCGCTTCAAAGGCATAAGCCTCTTAGACATTATTATCAGTGCACCATCACAGTTTAGAGGACATTTAAAAATAGTATCCCTTTCTTTTTTTTTTATTGCAGTACAGAATAAATAAAATTGCATGAATTATTCATTTTTGATGCAGTATTCTGATAGAAAGTATTTGAAGGTCTTTATCAGTGAGAGGTCTTATAGGGCTGCTTTGCACAATAGTTAATTGAAATCCATTGCACTAAACCCTCAGGATGTCCGAAAAATATGTCTTAAAAGCATATGCCGCCTTTTGCAAAAATGTAATAAATGCACCAGCAAAACAAAAAAAATTGTTTTACATTTTCGCATAGGAGCCTGCAGAGCATTGCAACTTTGATCAGTGCATAGCAGGTTCAATGCACAGGCTCCTGCAGACAATTTCCCCATCCCTAAGGCCCTACAAGGTACTGACCTTTGTTAATGGAGCTGGAGAAAGTGCTGCTGTACTGGTGCTCGATTTTAAGATCTATGAATCCCATTGTTGTGATAGCAGATGGAACTTGTAGTCTCTTCATTCACAGATCCATATGAATGGATGATGTGGTTGTGCAGATGGAGCCATGCACAGCCACACTGAATTCAAATGAATACAGAATCCTGCAAAGATCAGAACCCTGCTTTTCAAATAAACTGGATAAATCTATCTTGTATAATATTACCAGCCTGAAAGCCATAACTGTGTCTGCAGATTGTGGTATTACTCTATGGTTTACTGTAACATCTTGGATCTTGTGGAACATTTTTTTTTTTTTAAGTTTAAAATGTAATTTCAAAATATTTAGTAGCATTAACAACAGAAATAAATAAGTAAACCAATATACTCTCTTTTACCAGCTACATCGGCTTGGGTCCATCATCCACTCTTTACCTCAAAGTGTATTTACTGTAGACTCATTTCTACATGCTTTGATATATGTGTAGGCAGTTGCCAGTGACAGGGCAGCCTAGCTGGCTGCAGGATAAAGTAGGTTAATAAGTGTATATAACTACTTTCAGCTATTTTGATATGTTTATATGTAAATATGTTCAGCACTGTTTAGCCTCTACAATTGTCTCCAGCACCATTTTGGAGAAGCCTGGTGTCCTGATTGGACAGGAAAGCTCGGGAGATTTGGTCGGCCATTTTGGGGTGGTTATCTTATATAGGAAAGACAACCACGGTTGCAGTCAGAACACGTGTGGATGTAGACAGGGACAGAGACCCGCTTGTGAGGGAGAGTCAGGAAAGTGCAGGGAAAGTGTTCCAGCCTGTGAGGGATAGTTCTGGGTTCCTACGGAGTCCTGTATCGGTAATCCGGGTCGGATGAAAAGACTCCCAGTTGTTTATAACCAAACCAGTGTGTCCGCTGTGAGTGCGGGAAGAGTGTGCCAGACTCCTATCTCCCTGTACGGAACGAATATCGCTGCTTCCGGGTAGAGTGCTATCAGCCTTACAGATACGTATTGTGTGCTTGGGTTTAGACGGTGCCAGTCAGTGGGAAGTGTCTAGGGTGCTAACGAATCCCACTACCACTTACATCTGAAGTGACTGTAATGTGTACCTGTGTGAAAACCGTTCGCTTTACTATTGTAAATATTCTTCATACTACCGGCCCTCCGGTAATAAACGTTATCTTGTTAAAAGTCAATTACGTGTGATTCCCTCTGTGAAGCCGCCACACCCCAAACCCGCTTACATATGTGTAATGTAAAATTGCATTAACATCATAGCCCACATATCACTGCATCTAAATTACAGCAAATACCTTGATTTTAGAGCATCTGTAATTCAGTGATGTGATCACATCCTAGTTCCTCTGCAACTCTGTAGGCAATATGGGGGTGGAGCTCATTCCCAGCTTGTGATGTGTCCTTTGACCGGACAGTGCCGATTGGTGCTCTGGTAGTTGTATGACTATTTAGAAAAAAAAAATCTAAACATTATTTTAAAATAAGCCCATATAAGTAATGATTGCTTCACTTATCATTCATTTACATGAAACTGAAATTCTTCGTAAACATCGCAGCCACGCCACGTGATACTCCTAAAGTCTTGGAGGGTGACTCCAGAACCGTGATTTTCCTGATCTCTAACAATGTCATCCTGGAAGTCTTAAAGTGAAACTAAACTCAAGAATTAAATCTTAGATAATGCTTAACTATTAAAGTAGAACTAAAGACAGGGTGTTTTCTTTTAACTTAATGCATTCTCTAAAATGCGCAGTACCTTTGTGCACCCCAAACACCCCCCCGTCGCCACCACCGGGTCCCTGAAGATATCCTCTGTTCTGAATTTCCTGATTGTGGGGGAAGGTACTGAGGGCAGAGAAGCGATTGGCTCCTTCTGCTGTCAGTCAATCTGCTGTGAGGACAGGAGATGGGTGTGGCTTGCCGCATGCTGTGTGTCTCTATAAAAACACAAAGCTACTTGCGGGCATAGCCAGTAACAGGCACTGGTGTCTCCTCAGCAGCCAACTAGCTAAATGGAGACGCCCGCAGCAGAAGGGGGTGGACGGTTTGGGGATCAGCTAAAGAACGTGGAAAGAAAAAGCTTTAAAGAAGAAGGGTAGCACTTTCATGTGAGTATGGCCCTTCTAAACATGAAAAGTAGGGATGCACTGATGCTTGCACTTGTGAAAATGTTCCGATACTAAGTGCCGATAACAGCACTTTAAATGTTTAAAAACAATCGGCTGCCGTAAGGTCCTGCACAAACATCTCCTTCCCGCCACCTGCACCCACCCACTCGTTCAGCCATGGTGAGACCCGTCACAGCGCTGGGGAGTCTCGCACCCGCCTGCTCCAAGCTCGATCTTGTGATGGACTACAATCACACATTTAGTTTACTAATTTGTATTGAGATTAAGGACATCTAACAACCTAGAAATAAGATATCTTCATCCAGATGGGACACAAACTACTAAAAGAAGATACAGGTCTCTTCTGTGCATTTGGGTTATGTTCACACTTCTGTGGCAGCCTGTGTGTTAACACAATACACAATGTAGGCATTTCAAGGTCTCTTGGATCTTGCTTTCTAGGGGCGTGCATTCCTTAGTCCCTAGTAACAATAAAGCACACGGCTTGCTGTAGTCCTCAGTGCTTTATCGTAGTACAAAGCAGGGCAGAGAAAAACAAGTATTTGGTGCATTTCATGCTCAGAAGTGTGTAATCTTAGATTAGGAAAGTCAGGAAATCACCAGCACTCAGTAGTAAAGATAAATATGTCCCTTTTTATTGGACAGAAAGCGTCACAGACATCCAAATAAACCGACGTTTCGGGACCGCGCAGGGTCCCTTCCTCAAGGCAGAAAGATAATGTTAGATTAGATCACGGATAACTAAGTTCCTTTAAGTGTGATACATGTCAGATTTTCTGTCTCTATGAAATATCTTCTGTCTGAATGTTTCAGTAGTCAAGTGGACTACAGTGAGCATTGGACAGGCTTCCTACTTTGTTCATGTGTATTAATGCGCCAAGTTGGGTCTCTTGACCACTCTTACAATTTAATCTGCAGCGTTTCTCATATAAAATAACCTTCATAAGTGATAACATCTGTTTAAAGTGTTTCCCCTTTGTGCTCGGACCCTTTTATGCATTAACTAGTGTGCCCCATGGGTTAAAGTGATAGTAAAGCCTTCATTTTGTTAGAGACTTGAAAGAGAACTATGGGGTAATTGTTTTTCCCCATGGTTCTATTTAGGGTCATGGGAGGACATATACAGCGCCTTCCCGTGACCCAAAGTTCAGTATATCGCGAGCAACAGTGAGCTACAATGCTATCGAGATCCACTCTTGCTGCGTGAATGACAGCTGGCTCTACCTATCTAGTGGCACCTGTACCTGCCTCCTCCCCCGTCCGTTCCTCCACTCAGCACTGGGGGGAATCCCTGCAGGGAGCGGTGACTGACAGTCACCACTCTCTGCAGGGAAATGATTGAGAAGTGAGCGAACGACGGTATGCGTTCGCTCACTTTCCAATCTATTGAGCCGACGTGTGACAGTTTCATTGAGTGATTTTCACTCACCTCATAGTTCTCCTTTAATGTGTATGCTGTTCTCCCAGGT